CTAATAACGTGGCACTGTGTGATACTCACGTTCCCTACATGATTGCTGAAGACATAATGGGTGCATAAGCAAATATGGTGAAGAAAGCTGATGGTGCCTGGCTATTAAAAGATATACTGTCTGGGGTCTTAAAGGCTTGAAGTTAAAAAATAAAAAGCGTCCATCTAGTAGGGAAGCAACAAAATCTACATGGAAGAGTAACATTAGCCTGTGCAATCATGAGCTGTTGACAGGATTATATATTAGAATATCAAAAACAAATAATCATATTGTTGTGAATGAGAGAGGTCAGGGGGTGGAGACCCCAAAGCCCATCTGTTGATATTTTCACATTCCCTCACAGAAGGGACACACGAAAGGGACAACTCATGCAGGGTGCAGTATAGCTCCAACAAAACACACAACATTCCTCTAGTTCTTTAATGCCCCCTCCTCCACTATCATGGCACCGGTTTGACCTCATAAATCCTGCTTGCCTGGTGCATGTACCTTGGTACAGACAAGAGATTTTGACACAGGGAATCCAGGATAGATCCCCCCACATACAACTGAGAAACAGTAATAGGACTAATGATTAAATGAGGGTATGGAAAGGGAGAGGGGGAAGGTGTGGGGAGGGGAAATGGATAGTAATGAGAGCAACAGCCCTAAAAGGGGACAGATAACAGAACTGTGGGTGAAGGGATACTCTGGAAGGTAATAGATATTGTGTTAGTCCAAGTTGACCAGAGAAACAAATTCAGTGACATTCATATATTTGTAATTTGTAAAGAGAACTTTATATCAAATGGTAACTGTATATTAAGAAAGCATTCCAACCCAGTGCAGATTAAGTTCCTAAGTCCAATATTAGCCCATATGTCTGATACCAGTCTATAAATTCCTCTTTAGACTCACACAACACATGCATTTACGCCAAATGCAGGAAGATCACAGGCAACGGGTGGAAAGTCTTGTGGATCCAGTGGCATTGGAAACATCTCAGCGCTGGCGTGGTTCTTCTCTTGGCTTCTCCAGCTCCAGGGCTCTGGTTCCATCAGTGTAGCTCCACATATCTTGTCAACAGGAATGTATTGCAGAGTGTGTCCTGTCTCCAGGGAGGAAGTCAGGAGTACCCAGAATCCTCAGGAGAAGGCCATGCCCACACAGAGGCCTCATTGGCTATGACCTGATTGACAGGCTAGACTCCATCCCTTTGCAAGCTGACAGAGTATGTAACTACTACAGAATGGAATATATATATCTATAAATTATATATATATAATTTATTAAGGGTTCATGAGGGTAGTACGATTGGGGAGGGAGGGAATAAAGAGGAACTGATACCAAAGAGCTCAAGTGGAAAGAAAATGTTTGGAAAGTGATGATAAGTTTGCTCGATATAATTGATTAATGGATTGTAAAATATCTGTAAGAGCCCCCAATTAAATGATCAATATAAAATCAAATAGATGTATTAAATTTCATATATACACGTCATATGTATATGTGTATGTCTGGGTACAGCTGTGTAGGTATATGCATATATATTCTTATATGTATGAGGGGACCTTGAAAAGTTTGTGTGGGGAGATAAGTGAATAGATAATGGAGTTTTTCTATGAACTTTTTGAAGTACTCCTCATATCTATGTCTATATATTTATCTATGCACCCCAAAATATAGCTAAATAACAAGCCTTAGTAATAGCACTGTTAACATTTGGCTGATAACCAAGGGGTTGTAGACATTTCTACCGTTTTTTGGAGGGTCATCAGTCAAAATCAGCTCATCACACACAGGATGTGTGGGCTGCTCTCTCTTGTTTTCTCTGTGTCTGCTGAGTCTATCTCTCTATAGATCTATCCACATGTGGCATCAGTCAAATGAATATAATAATAATAAATAATAATAATAATAATCCATTTCTGGACATTGTTTTAAGGAATGTACAACATGCCAGAAGAACCTGAGATACTCCGCCCTTTGTTTGTGATTCTACGTGGCTGCATATACAGTGCAGAGGGTTATCTTGAAACCCTCAACAGGGTCTGTAAAAATCTGTATGAACAAATACATAGATTTTTCACCCCATGGAAAAGCTTTTATAGCGTTTATTAAATTTCCAGTGATGTCTTTGACATTTTACCCACATGCTAAGAACACTGGCCTGGATCCTTTCTTACAGTCAATATAAAGGCCTTTTAGAAGTAGGTGTGGCAGCAGGTACAAAAACATCTTGATCTGAAGTCAATATCAGCGGTAGGCCGAAATCTCAGTATCACAGTCGATTAGAGCTTGAAAGAGCCTCCGAGACTGGCCCCTGTCTTCATTGTGCAGATGCTGAGCTGGAATCCAGACTAGAGAAGCGGCTGCTCTGTGTGTTATGACGAATCTGCTGCTTGGTCCTCATGAAAGTCCACGTCTTCAGACAGACTCCGGAAGTCTCCCCCGTATACCTTTGGCTGGGTCCATGGAGTATCTCAGGAGAAGGACCTAGATGCCTTTGAAAAATTATCATTGCCTTAGAAAATTATGCCAATGCATTCTTCTATGGGTCCCTGAAAAAACAGCCCCTAGCCCCTGTAATGCAGAAAGCGCAAGGTGTCGAGTGTCTGGCAAATGAACACTTGATGATTCAAAGCGCTAATTTCATCAATTGAAGCACTGTAAATGATGTAGGTATTTGGCGGGCTATGACTTGATACCATCTGGCTCGAGAAATGTGTGATTCATTCACACAACCAGGTTTTAAACGTCTTCTGGTGCTTTGGGTTAACATATGTGCTCAGCCGCTATTCCGAAGGACAGTCACTTGAGGCTTTTGAAATGAAATCCTCACACTTTTTCTCACCTTCTCACAGCCAATCAATCTCCCCCGTCCAGGACTATATGTGAGTGTTATTTTAACATGCATTAATATTTTCAGCAGTGATAAATTATGCAAATATATATGAGTCTGTTATCTGTTCATTGTTTCCTTTTCCTATCTTGTTTCCATCAACCTTTTACCCAAGGCTAAGCCAGGAAGCTCACACCTTCAGGATGAGAGGGTTACTCTATTCAGAATATAGCTTCTATCTGTTGGCCCTACTTCTCCAAACTACATTTTTAGAACAAGAAGGTCGACTTGAAAGTCAGCTGGAGCCCTGTAGGTTCCGTAGTGAAATGACTTGGCTGTTAACAGAAAGATGCACAGTTCGATTCCGTCATTGGAAGTTGTGGTTGTGTGGTTCGTAGACACTGCACCTTTGCCAAAGCTCTGAGGCATTCTACTCGGTGCTGTAGAATCCCTATGAGCCAGAATCAACTCACCCACAATGGATGTGGTTTGGCTTTAGTTTTGGAAAGCCAGAATCTTTGGTCAGAGATAGACTGAGCAAAAATTCGATTTCCTTCTAAGCGCAGATCTGGAGCTTTAGGTTCTAGAGTGTGATTACAGGCCTCCTTAGTCTTAAATTCATGGTGACCTTATGAACCAGAGTACAACTCCCTTTAGATTTTTATGGGAGTGGAAAGCCTCATATTTCTCCTTTGGAGTGGCTGGTGGTTTTGAATTGTTGACCTTGCAAGAGCCCACTATGGAATCCATGTGGTGGCAATGGGTGAGTTTTTCTTGAGCATTTCGTATGGAAAGTCAGTTCTGATGCATGGTGATTGCACGTGGGCCAGAGCAGAACTGGGTTCTGAAAGATTTCAGTAGCTGGGTTTTCAGAAGGAGATGGCCCAGTTTTCCTAATATATGCTTCTGGATGAACTTGACCCACCAAGCTTTTGGTCAGTAGGAAAAGCTGAACCACTGGATTTAGCTTAGCCAAACATTTAACCCCAGTTACTCCAGAGAAAGTACAGGCCATGGAAAGCCACCATTTCAATCCTGACAAGGGATAGAACTGAGGAGTTCCTTTCTGAGATCACCTAACTGGGCCCCTCATTCCCATAGTCCCACATATTCTATTGGAAAGAAACAAGGAACAGAGGATGGGGATGAAGGTCTGGAGATTTATGCAACATTAACAAAACACCCAAAGATAACTAAGCATATATTTACACATTGAAAACAACTGGAAAGGAGTGAGGTGATTGGTTTGTACTACATGTAAATAAATATTGATAGATGGAGATAGACTCAATGATAGGCTTGTCCTTACTCCAGGGAAGTGGAAACACATGAGAGCAACTACGTTTTAGAAGGATAAATAAATAAATCTTACCAGTTTTATACAACTCAGGATCAAGGGAGTCAGTATTTGAAAATGAAGATCCCTTATAATTTCTTGAAAACCTGCTGGGAAAGGAAGTTCAGGCTCAGGGGTCCAGCCTATACTTTCTCATTTGATGACCACCATCATGCACTCAATGACGAGGACTGCCAGTGGTAAAGCAAAAGTGATTTTAAACAATAAACATCTAGGAGCAACTGCGAGGAAGGGGCCTTTGGTGGGCTTCCCTCCTTGGTCACAGATACTGGCTCTGTATGCAGACAGTGTCTCCTCTCAGCTAGAAGCCAACCAAGTAGTCTTAAGTAGTCTTAAGAACACAGGGAGGTGGTGGGGTGGGCTTGGGGAGTAATATAGTGAAGGGAAGGGTCTGCAATAGGGTAATACTCAGACCATCCGATCGGCACTGTCTCAGAGAGTTAGGAAAATAAAACGAGGCTTGAGAAAGCCCAGGTGTGGCAGATTGGTTTGAAAGGGTGGCATTACTAGTTAATAAATTGTAATGTTTCACCATGAGATCATCCTGTTCTCTGAGAGGGCGCATAAAGAGATTGAGGGTAAGTCAAAGTACAGGGATGGGTGGGGGTGGGCGGTAAGTCAGAGGATAGGGGGAAGTAGATACACTTAGTTAAATTTTGATTAGTAAGCACTTTGCCTCTAATCCTTGAGTGCGGACAAACAATTCAGTGACTCCACAGAGAGGCCAAGAATGGGAATTTGGAGAGACTGTGGAGCCCTGGTGGCATGGTGGGTTATGCCCTGGGCAGCTGAGTTATACATTAGGCAGCTAACTTCAAGATCAGGAGTTCAAAACTACCAGTCACTCCAAGGGAGAGAGATGCAGTTCCCTACTCCCTTGAACAAGTTAGTCTTGTAAGCCCACAGGAGCCTTCTCTGTCCTGCAGGTCTCTCTGAGTTGGACTTGACTTGATGGTTTGGTTTTTGATTTAGGCGCTGCCCTTGTCAAATGGAGCCACCGAGCGGATGACTACAAGGTGGGCTGTTTGAAACCCCCCATTTGCTCCTCAGGAAAAGAAGAGTCAGTCTGCATTGGAATGGACTTGACAGCTGGGTGAGTGTCCGGCGATGTCATAGGAAACAAGTAGGACGTCATGAGTCTTAGTAGTCACACCATATGGGAGGGGTGATCCCTGCAGGGAACTGTTTTCCTGAAAAAAATGGTGGAGTCTTTTCCATAGCTGTGATCAGTTTCCAGGTTTGGGCAATGTCAACCTTTTCACCGCAGATTAGCCAGAGCGTGGTGTGCCTTTTATTTCCTCATTTCCTTCCACTCTCAAGAACAAAGAATGCTGCCCTCTTCAATTCTTTTATCTGGGAAAAGCACACCCAATGAGGAAAGATGAAACAGTAATAATACAAAAAAGTATCGCTTGCAACAGATAATTATATTTGTACAGTTTTTCTTCTTTTGCTTTCTTCTGAATGGATTACTCAAAAAATGCTCGACATATGGTGGGAGTAGTAAGCATTATGTCAACAGAAGGCGAAGTATTTATGCAGGGGGCTTCCTGCTTTACTTCATGTCACTCACATCAGTCTCATCTGCCTGCCTACTTGTGTTTCAGCCCGGGCCTTGTTCATATTCCCCAGGACTGGGACGAAGCTCACAATCTGATGGATATGGTATAATGGGGATATGATAACCTAATGGAAATAGCATAATAGGAATATGACAATTTGATGGATATATCATCATGGGAATATCACAATCTGATGGATAAGACAACTTGAGTGCTGGGAAATCATGGTCCAAAGCACTGTGAATTGCTCATTGCTAATCACCCACTTATTGGTCACTAGCCGTATGTGCAATTACTTTTAGTCTGGAACATTTCTGCTGTATCTCTTGCCTTTTCTCAAGCATGAAACACCCCCTCCTGTGCCAGCTAATGCTGGTTCCCACTGCAGGGTGCTCAGCGGTCTCTTCGTCATGAAACCACAGATGCGGCGCCATTCCAAATTGAGAACAGAAGATGACACTGTAAATTAATAACAATTCCTAAATTGCGACCTTCAGTTAAAAAGGAAAAATGTATGGAGCAAGAGCCTGAGAAATACAGAGGTACAAATAGGCATCTACTCAACACTCAGTTCATGCTTGCTGGCGTTTGATGATATCATTACCTGTGGTTGTCAAAAAACATCCTCAACGTTACTAGCTCATTACAATTATGACTATGGGCACTGGGTTGTTGGTGTGGGGTGCCATGGGGCCCATTCTAGCTCATAGCTGCCCCGGTGATAGTATAGACATGGCCCATTGGGTTTTCTAAGCTGTAATGTTTATGGGAGCAGATCACAGACCATTACCCTGTGGTGACACTTGATGGGCTTGATCCACCAACTTTTCCATTAGCAATGAAGCACTCACCCGTGACACCACCAGCATTCCATCTATACCCTCACTAAATGTGTAAGATAATCAAAACTATATAAAATATGGAAATATATTATTTATTTTTATGAGTAAAATTCTAGAAAATAACTGAAAGTAAGTGTTGGCTAATATTTATCAAGGATCGCTGGTGTCACAGTGGTTAAAAATTAGGCTGCGAAGGTTGGCAGTTTGGACTGACTAGCCCTCCATGGGTGAAAGATGCGGCCGGCTGTTTAAGCTTACAGCCTGGAGACCACACAGGGGCAGTTCTACTCTGTCTGACAGCGTCGCTGTGAGTTGGAATAGATTCAATGACAATGAGTTTCATGGTTTTTAATTCGCAAAATTCACAATCATGGATATCATATAACAAAATATATACAGGGACAATCCCACTTGCCTGACTGCTTGCATTTGAACTCTAAATAATTGAAAGCACTTATTTTCCCCATGACTTACACTGCTACTTGTTATATCTTGAGCATGTAGTCATGCTGCACACAAAGAGAGTGTGAAGTAGAAGAAACTTACGTTTAATTTCATGATGTGGCATATTTTTGCTGTTAATGTCTGTCTCTGAGGCTGTCTCTAGAGTGTTATGATGAGATATATAAATTTCCATCTAGCATTCTTTTACCCACAGCTCTTCCCCCAAACAAACGCTGCTCACATGGGTTGAAACAAACTCCCGTTGATGGACTGACTCCTGGGACTTCATGAGCATCATCTTTAATAGCTGTGCTCGTACAGTTCTCAATGTCTGGTGTTTCAGGAGCATATCACCAGGCTTTTCTTGTGAGACCCAGACACAGAGGCTCCCAGGAAAGGTCCCCTTTGTCTAGCAGAGAGATCACTCCAAAGCCAGGCCAAGTGAAGCCCAACAAGAAGAGAGGGAGGTCGAGTACCTTGGTCAACATCCGAGGGAATCAAGATAGGAGAGTGGTGGCTTGAATAGTGAACTTTGAAAAATCGATCACAGTTCTTCTCCACTGAACACTGTGACAGCCTGTGTGGAGTTAAAGAACTATTTCAGAAATAACATGAAACCATGCTGACACTTCACACCTGGGAGTGTGACTGACGATGGAGGAAGGAGGTTAGAGAGTACCCTAGAGGGGTCTTTCTTAACTATGGCTGTAAGGATGCCTAATGCACTCCATCCCTCTGCAGCCTGCAGAAAGTTGTTAGAGAGACACTCATAATAATTACATAGGAGATGGAGTTTTGAGGGGTGAAAACTTGAAATCTCATTCTTTTCTTTAGCTGTTCCCTGTCAGGGACACTTACATCGGGTGATGACGTCTAAGTGAATGAGCTTAGCTGCAACCCTAATTAATGGCCAGCCTATTTAATATTTACCCTACAGCTCTGCTGGGAAAACCTGATTAAAAGACTGCCCGAAGGCCACTAGGTTGGTCACTGTTGAGTCAGAAAAAAATGTCTCAGAAGTGCAAGTCTAGCTGGAAATACCTGGAAACTTTTCTCGGTTCTGGTAATTGAAATATGGAAATTGACTTCCATGGGAGAGAGGACTGAGCTGACTACGGGCATTAGAGCAGTTCAACGAGAGGAATAAAGGCTTAGGAATGACAGAAAGTCTCATCAGCTCGAGCTGCCAACCCCTGACCACCTCTGAAGGTGCGTGGACCCGGGTCTGTGTGTGTTTGGCAAGTCCCAGAGGGCTCGCTCCAATGGACCGTATTCCTAGACTAAGTTCAGTCTGAGAGCTTCAGGCCACTGAGGACAATGAAGGAATCTGAGTTTCTGGATGTGACTCTGCCTGGCTTTCGCAGAAACTCTACCTCCTCAGGGTATTGCCTATTGGTAGTTAGCTAACTAACCGGCAAAGAAAAGAAAAATCATTTGAGCACCCTGTGGAGAGCAGGGGACAGAAAAAAACTCTTGAGAAAACTGAGGTTAAAAGATAATAGAACCTTCAGTGCACTTTTTGAAGCCCAGTCATATAAACTGGGGAAAGAGAATTGGACTAAGTAGACCCTAGACCAGTAATCAGCTCTGGAGAACCGAACGACTGGATACATACATTTTGGGTAACATTCCCTCCATTTGTTGAGTTTGCAGAGTATTGAGATTCCAAGGTCCTGGTTGGTTTTGGTTAATTATTTTTTCATTAATTTGTCATTAAGATTTTAGTGGACTCAGTGCTACTGTTTCAGTACTTCTTTGATGATACGTGTTCACTGAAGTGTAGATTGGTACATTTGTAAGACCAATCCAGACCAAACCAAACTCACAGCCATGGAGTCAAAGTTGACTCACAGTGACTCCTTGTGGGTTTCCAAGACTGTAACAGTTTATGGGAGTAGAAAGTCTTCCTCCTGAAGAGCTGCTGGTGGTTTTGAATTGCCGACTATGTGGATTGTACCTCTCAATGACTAAGTTTTTATCCATAAAATATGATTAATAATATCTGCTCTGTTTCACTATTAGAAAAATAATATGACTTGAACAGGGCAATCTTATATTAATAAGTTTTGAAAATATACATAAAAGGTATAAGGGAAGGCTTCAAAAAGTCTGTGGGAAAATTCCATGATCTTTTCATTGGTAAGGTTATATTTTTACAAAACCTGTTATTTACCCTTCTACTTCCTGGACTTGGGGTTCTATCACTTTTAAGTCTAATTCCAGGTAGCACTTCTAAGTTGGATCTGAATACAAAAAAAGAAACGTTCAGATCAGAGAGGGAAGTAGAAAACAGTTAAAAGAGAGTAGATGAAAGGGAAGTTCAGGAGGATTTCCAATGACCTACTCTTCTATGCATGGAAATTGTACGAGGAATAACTATTTAAAAAATCATTTATAAATTTTGCTAGAATAAGTCCTTTGAGAATGATAATAAGAAGCATAAACTGTATCTTATTTTATGAGACAAGTAGCAAAAACACCAAACCAAACTCACTGCCAGAGAGCAATTCTGATTCCTCGTGGCCTTACAGGGCAGGGTAGAGCTGCTCCTCTGAGTTTTGGAGACTCTGGCATCTTTCTCCCATGGAGCTGGTGGATAGTTTTGAACTGCTGACCTTTTGGTTAGCAGCTCAATGCATAACCAATGTGCCACCAGAGGTCCTAGTAAAACAAAGAATATTTGCCAAGTACAGAATGTGTTCTTAAGTTAGAAATGTCTTTTTTATATCATAGCCATTGGAAGTCATTTCACTGTGATAGTGGAGATATGTGTCAACTTGGATGGGCTAAGATTCTTAGTGGTTTAGCCGTCACGCAATGACGAAATTTTAAAATTATGTAATGATGTGATTTGACAGTATGTGATAATACAGTAATGAGATCATGATGTCAAGTTTCATGAAATGACCTGGTCTTTGGAGCTGTGCCATGTCTGTAAGTTAGGAGTGGGTCTATAGTTACTCTTCTTCCAAGATTTAGACATGGGTTTCTTCAAATTCCCTTTATTTATGCCCCTTTTTGTTGCTGGAAAATTTTAGTTATTTTTCGGTACCAAATATCTAAATGTTACAAGCCTTGATCATCAAGTCTATTTCATTTGTCTCAACAAAAGCATTGCTACAATATTTTAATCATCCTTCAAACACGATCCCTCTCCAAACTGAGAAAGAACCACAAGCATACTTTTGGCCATATTGTTTACATACTTTGAGGTTACTTATTTGGGAGGAGTAAGGGTTGTTCTGACATTTACTTAGGAAAGTAACTATATTATTTTCTCACTTGGGTTGCTAAAAAATTACCATCCTTCATTGATTGATTCCAGAAATACTAACTTTTGTTTTCCCATGTGCCTAGCACTGTGGTGGAGCCTAAAGACTGGAAGCAATCTGTGGAGTGGTGCTCCTAGCTCAACAGAGAGACAGGAGGTAAGCAAACATGCAAATAGTTAACCACAGGATCTCATTTCATAAGAGATGAAAGGAAATAAGGCAAAATAAGGTAATCGTGAAGAAGTAGAGGCAGGAGCACTTTCAATATTGGGTTTGTGACAGCCTTTGCGAGGGTCAACTTAATGGCATCAATTTATAAACAATCTAAAAATACCCTTGTCACTGTTTGTAGGTGTCAGTGCATCAGGTCCAACCCATAATGTCCTGAGCACAGCAGAATGAGGCTCTGCTCAGTCCTGTACCAGACTAGTTAGGAGGATTTTTATTTTCTTTATGCTGAGACATAATCCATACTGCAGGCTGTAGTCTTTGATGTTTATCAGAAAATGCCTCAAGGCCTCTTCCTTTGTTAGCAAGCAAAGTTGGTTCAATTGCATATTGCAGGTTGTATCATTTGCATATTTTAGTTGGTTAATGAGACTTCTTCCAATCCTGATGTCATGTTCTTCTTCATTAAGTCTAACTTTCAGCTTATTTGCTTGGCAAAAAGATTGAGTACGTATTATGAAAGGATCCAACATTGACAACAAAACTTCCTTGATTGCAAACAACGCAGTATCACCTTATTTAGTTTAAACAACTACTTGTTGGTCTCTCTCTCTATAAGCCCCACATTGTTCAACAGTTTGTAATTCTTATGTTATCCACAATCAATCAGTTATTATATACACAGTCATAGTTGAATGCTTTTACATAGTCAATCAAACACAAATAAACATCTTTCTGGAATTTTCTGCTTTCTGCCAATATCCATGTAGAACCATCAAGATTATCTCTCATTACATGCCCACTTTCTGAATCTGGTTTGAATTTTTGACTGTTCCTGGTTAACGTACTACTACAACTGAATTATCATCAACAAAATTTTACTTGTGTGTGATTTTGCTCAATAATTTTCACCTTATATTTAATCCCTTTTCCATGAAATAGGCATACCTGAACCCTTTTAATTGATTGGCAGCTAGACATCTTTCAAGTTCCTTGTTATTTTTCTTTTAAAGAAAACCAGTTCATCTGCATCATAAACATTGACATTGTATCATAGAACATAGTATAGTAAAACTGTTTCATTAGTTTAACTAAGAGGGCACATTTAAATAAGTCAAAGCTTAAATTATGCCCTCCTGTACCCTCTGATAAGTTTTGGTATCACACATCTAGGATTCTTTTCCTTTGTGATAAAATAATAGTGCCATATGACGTATCATGTGACAAAGCGTTCTGTATTATCAGATTATCACTGTAATTTTGTTCCGATGAAACCACAAACAAAGTGGGAAAAAGAACCGCCTGATGCATAGTAGAAAAGGGGAAGTATATCATCCCTTAAAATATTTCCATTTTCTATGTTAGATGAGGAAAAATTGTAGTTCTGTTTTGCATACAATATAAATATGCTTTAAAAGAGGAAACTATATTGACACTGACATATTGTGTCTCAAAATCAATGTGCCATTGACCATGTTTCTTAGGGGAAGAGGTGGCATAAACATTTTTGGGGGGGATTTTTACATTATTTACCAATCAAAAGACAACCACCAGATCGCCAACTCTCATGGAGTCAGCTCTGACTTACAGCAATTCCATAGGACATAGTAGAATACAACCTAGGGTTTCCTATGCTGCAGGTCTTTAAGGGAGGGAAACAGCTCATCTTTCTACCCCAAATATCTGGTAGGTTATCTACTCTATGGGGTTAGTAACCCAAAAGGAAGCATCCGACACCACCGAGTCTCCTAAGTCAAAGGTCAAGTACCTATAGAGTTATAGTTTATGGTCTTACAGGAAGCCAATTAAGCCATTCCAAATAATTGTGTGCAATACTGAAACTTGAATCTTTACTCTAGGACCTTTTAAAAAATATTTTGAGCTCCTCTAGCCTTCTTATCTTTAATGATACCATGTATATTATGCATTATGTATAAAAAGTGTCTTATTTTATTATCTTGGTGCCATCTCAAGGGTTTATTTATAATGATATTTTCTATTCTACAAATAATGATTTATTGTGAAATATTTAGGTCACTAAATATTTTTCAGGAACACATTGATAAAATAAGATTGTTTGAATGGGAATTGAAAAGAGTTCCCATGTTTTGAAAATAAAATTTCAATCAAAATTGCAAGGTCACTGATATGATTTTGCCATTCCTTTTCTACAAGAAATGATAAGGGCTATGCCAAGACCTCCTTCTGCTCACCAAATTATAGGAGAAGCAGAAGACAGGATTCTTGTCTCAAGAGAAGTAGGATCTAATCGTTATTGCATAATGATGTTAAAATTATATGAAGACAGAACACATAAAATCTACTGACTCCCAGCGGTAGACTGCACTTGACTAGATGAATGGTTATTCAATCTCATTACCTTAAAGATGTTTATTTGACAGATATGAAAACACTGTTTCGGTTTGTGTTGCACAGCGATGACTTGTGGGGATGAAGGGTTTACTATATGTGTTTCTAGACAAGTTATATGGACTAAGATTCAGAGAACAGAATGGGCAAGGCCCAGGGAGGACTAGCAGAGAGACATGGGTAGTGTTTTGAGAGTAGAGATTTTGACATAGTGAAGGCTCGGGAAGAGAAGACAGGACTGAGAATGGAGATTGTAATCACCATGGAGGATGTTATACATAAGAATCAGAAGCATAATCCCATTCCCTAGAAAACAGGAATCTACAAACTGCTTGCGTGTCACTTCAGAAAGAGTAGACATCTAACGCATGGCTGTTGTTTGGTGAGGAATCATATTTGAACAGAAAGATCATTGCAACAACAGTTGCAGCAGTACATTGACAGGGAGCTGCCAGAAGTCGGGGCCAGATTCAGAAGAGGACGGGGAACAAGGATATAATTCCTGCTGTCAGATGGATATCTCCAAGTGGAAAATACCAGAAAGATGTTCACTTGTGCTTCATTGACTATGCAAGGCCATCATTTACTGGATAACCTTGAGAAGAATGGTAACTCTAGAACACTCTCTTGTGCTCATGTAGAACATGTACATGGACCAAGAGGCAGTAATGTGAACAGAACAGGGGACTACTGCATGGGTTCCAACCAGGGAAGTTGTGTGTCAGGGTTATATTCTTTGACCATATTTGTTCAATCTGCAAATCATCAGAGAACCTGGATTATATAAAGAAGAATTCAGCACTAGGATTGGAGAAGGCTTATTAACAACCTCTGGCAAAAGGGTGACATTGCTGATGAAATCTGGGATTGTAGCACTCACGATGGATTACAACTCAATGGAGGAGAGACCAAAATCTTCACAACTGGACCAACAGATAACATCATGAGACATGGGGAAAAGGTTGAAGTAGTCAAGGATTTTGCCTTACTTGGACACAAAAAATCAATGTGCATGGAAGCAGCAGTCAAGAGATCAAAAGACATATTGCATTAGGTAAATCTGCTGTCCAAGACCTTTTTAGAACATTGAAGAGCAAGGATGTTACTTTGAGGACTAAAGCGTGCCTTCCCCGAACCAGGCTGTATTTCCACTGGATCAGATGCATGTGAAAGTTGGACACTGAATAAGAAAGACTGTAGAAGAATCGATGCCTTTGAATTGTGGTGCTGGAGATGAATATTGAAAGTACCATGGGCTGCTAAAAGGACACATCAATCTGTATTGGAGAAAGTAAGAACAGAGTTCTCCCTAGAAGCAAGGATGGCAAGATTTCATATTAAATAGTTTGGACACGGTGTCAGGAAAACCCATGATGATGTGATTTTTTGTTCTTTGATGCCTGATACCTGAACCCTTCCACATCTCATGATCACACAGGCTGGTGTGTTTCTTACATGTGGGCTTTGTTGCTTCT